CTACTATAGGGCTGGTAAGTAGGTCACTAACCTCTTCTACGGCTCAATAAAACCTGCATGAGCCTTAGAACTGGTTGGTGACCTACTTACCAGCCCTATAGCGGTCTCTATCTCCCATCTCATGTCAGCGATTCATAGGTGGATTAACAAAAATCCTTGTAGAAACGTATTTAAAAAGCTTCCAGGAGATATTTTGAACAAGCTTCGACACCATCTTACAATTTGATTTACAGAACCGTAAAACCGTAAAACTTTTTACTTTTTACAAAACAACGCTAATCTCACTAATGTATTGATAAAAAGGAAAAGGTCAATACACTAGCGTGTACACAATTGTTTTGCCGATAGATTGATGTATAGCTTATGGGTGCCTCGCGGGGAATAAAAGACGTAGACACTCTCGATGATAGCCGCTGTCAGTGTCGTAGAATAATATTTCACTGGGGAAGGGTTACCATATTTCACATCGTAATAAAAAAGGATTACTATATAGACATCTACATACAACTATGTGAATGTACGAAACATTCAGAGTAGACAGCTAATACGTTTAACTACCGAATTAAAAAATTTATATAAAAAAAGTATTTGAAAAATATTTTGAAAATGTCACTTTTATCGAAAACATAGGTATCTTCTATTCTTAAAAATGGCTAGTAATATCAGTGAATTAGCTTACATAATACAAATACATATTGATTCATAACCTGGAGAGAATCAAATGATTCAAAGAAAATTAAAACCGTTCAATTAAAAACGTGATTCAATAGAAATGTTATGTATCTTTTTAATTTAATTTTGATTCCTTTATTTGTATTTAAGTTGCATGATTTTTAATATGAAAAAAAAATACTTTTAATTATCTAGGTATGCACAGATTATCCTACACAATGAAGGCCATTTATTCATTTGTTTTGCTCGTCATACTTGTCTTTATCATTGGGGCTCCTGTTGTTCTTTTCAAAAGTAAGTTTACAAAAAAAAAAGTTTTCGTTTAAAAAATACACCCTACTATTATTTTAGATTTAAGCAATATTTTAAAAAGAAACACTAGTTATTTTGTTTTTTAAATCAAGAAAACATAAATTGTTGAACGTAAGCCATGATGATGAGAATAAATGCACCCTAATCCCAAATCAGTTGTCTTTTTCGTATTCTCATGGTAAGTTTTCTTCTATAGATACAAGAGAATATATTGAAGAAAATACGCCTATGTCTAAAGCACCCACAATTAACGTTTTCCCTAACGAGGAGACTACACACCCAGACAGTACAGAGTTGAAGCAGATAGATGAAAGTGCTTATAGTTATGTTGAAGAGACTGTGGAGAAGCGAACTACACACATGATAGAGACGACACAACCGCCACAAATGGAACATCTAGTTCATACGTACAGTAATATTGATCCACCGACCTCTGAGGAGCTGGCTTCACAGATTGAAATGTACGCAACAATCCAGGATGTAAATTGTACTCTGGCTAAAACAGATCAAACCTCTTTAAAGAAACATAAAGAAATTGTTGAAATCTCACTAAACGAACCTGAACATGAAATCTCGTATCTGAAGCTCAATAACACGTTGGATACTGCTAATTTATATCAGTCATCTTTAACAGAACAAACACAAATTTTGCAAACTCAACCAACGATTTTACCACCGCACTCACCTAATTAGACTGAACAAGAATCTTCAAACACGTGTGTATTGTATGATACCATAGGCACTGGGTCTGACAAATGTATCTGACAACAGAAATTTAAGCAACAGAACAAAGTCCATCTGGAATATCTAACGAAATATGAAGATTACTAATCATAGTTAGTTACACGAACTTATGCTGTTTGTGTTTAAAAATTTATAAAGATTGATCAGGTAAGTTTTTCATAATGCTTAAATCACGTATTTCGGAATAGTTTGTTCATACAATGTTTAAAAATTGGCCGCATTCTATGTATTTTGTTTTATTGGTAAGGTGTTCATATGATGCCGAAAACACTTTTAAAAACGTATTTTGAAAATGCTTTTTGATATTGAATATTATGTTTGCTAATGTGTTATGTTTATAAATATTTAGTTTACCAAATATTAGCTTAAAAGAAATATTGTAAGTAAATGTTTAGCTGTTACATTAAAAAGCTGTGTAGCCATTATTTCACTTTCTAACATGTACCTTTGGAACACTTCGTTATTTTTTATTAATTTAACAAACCTAGTCGTGTTTACAATGTTCCATGACACACAACTTAACAACGATTAACCTAATTCATGTAACCGGTGTTCTTAATGTTTATGGTAAGAAAACATAATTGTGTCCCTTCAATCGCTGATTACTTATTGAGCCTTATCTCTCGGTTCACATTAGACAATCTGTTGATTGACAGCCTTTTCCGTTGACCTGCATAGCTCGAGTCATTTGTTTGGTTCACAATTTTAGTAAACTAATGCTTGGTCAATTACTACAAATACTGAAAAGTCAACTTTGAGCACTCAATAAAACAACTAATGCCCATTACAACACCTAAACTAATTTTTTTTTTTTAAATATATGTTTTTTTCTGAGGCACAAAAAAAAAATAGAAAAAAGAAGTAAACTATTCTTGATGTTAAATAAGATAAAAGTTTTTGTCAACCTTTTATTTAGTTCCAAGATTTGTAGAATCTACCGAGACGTTTAAAAAGAATGCTTATCACACATATTTACTTTTCTCTATTTATTTATGTATTTGAGAGTCTCGGATTAGAAATGTTTTTTAAATAAGATATACATTGAAGTTATTTTTTTTTAAATGACTTGTATTAATTAAATATACCGATTTTAAACTAAAATATAAAAGAATTCAACGACCATTTTCAATAATACAAAACATTCACATAGGAAAAATATAAGGGAAGTTATTCATATGAAGTTTAAAGTTTGTTTTTCAACATTATTTCCCCTGTAACGTTTTAGTAACGAAATGTCTCACTAAAAAAAAAAAAACAGTGAAGGAATGAGTAGAGACTGAAAGTATCTCAGAGACTAGATTATACTTTTTAATTGCCTTATATTTACACTAATATATGCATTAAATTTAAATGTAAAAATTTAGTTGTGTAATTTTGTCCTGTTAAATCAGAAAAAATTGTCAGTCAATTTTTTACTTTCTAGTATACGGAGCAGGCCTATAGAGGAAGTTGTGTAATCGTACTAAAAAAAAGTAATTTTACTAAGTCTTGACGTGTTACACCTCCCTGGGTAAAAAACACATAGTTTTGCAAACGTGTCTGTATGTCCGAGTATGTGAGTGTGTGTGTATATACCGTTAAAGCTAGGTGGATGAAATTTCAAATATAAGTATTATATATAATTTGTAGTTCAGTTTCAAGTTTTCAGCTATTTCCGATAACCAGAAGCGGAACTTTTTCTTCTTTCAATTTTTCTAAAGCCTATTAGATGAGTACTGTTTCAGATGGATAAACGAATTTAACAAATAAGTAAATGATTTAATTTTCTGTTTTGTGTCGTATTTTGAGTACGTTCCGTTGATTGGAAGTAGTAATTTACGCTATTTTCGATTTATCGAAAAACGCATGAGAATTTATAAAGTACTAATAATATTCCGCACTATTACACACATCCTGTTTGGCATTTACTTGGTGCACAATTTTTTTTCTACGAGAATCTATTCTATTTTTAAAAGTTTAAGAAATTAAATAAACCGGGAGTGATCTCCCCTAAATTTCTCTAATATTCATATATAACACTACGGGGATGGTAACTCGGGATATAGACAATATTTTAATTCATTTTTTAATTACTCATACTTTTAAAAATTGTAAAGTAACATATTTTTGTGTTAATAGATTGTGATGTTAGATGATAGTTTCAGAAATGTATTAAAAAAAACTAACACATTTTTTGTAGCTGAATTAAAACAATAGATTCTGCAAAATGTGAGATTGTTAAAACATTTCAACTGCTAAATTACTTATATGATTTTAAATATTTCTCAAAAAACATTGCTATAGTTAAAAAAATGGTTTACATTATGATAGCCTTTCTGCATACGTGACTACAGTACTTGCAGAATTGATATAAGTGCTTTTTTATTAACAAATGCAGTGTCAAAGTTAGGCTCTAATGACTAACCTATCTTTCATGAAAAGTACTACAATCGATTACCTATGAGAAATCATTTATTCGCCATTAAATGCACCTCAGTTCAGACAAAATAAACCGGGAGTGATCTCCCCTAAACGTTTTTGAATATTCATATATAACAATGCGGGGGATGGCAACTCGGGATATAGACACGAATTTTAATCCATTTTTAATTACGTAATTAAACTTTTAAAAATAGAATAGAATATCGTAGAAAAATTAATGTGCGCATCAAGTAAACGCCAAACAATATGTCTATATTAGTTCGCAATATTATTAGTACTTAATAAATTTTCATGCGTTTTTTTAGCAATCAGAAATATCGTAAATTACTCTTTCCGGTCAACGGAAAGAACTCAAAATTCGACAGAAGACAGAGAATTAGATCTTTTACTTACATGTGAAATCTTATTTATCTATCTGAAACAGTACTCAAGTTATAGGCTTTTGAGAAATTAAAAGTAGAAAAAGTTCCACTTCCGTTAACGGGAATCGCTGAAAAGTTGATACAGAACTACAAATTTAATATAATACTTATGTATAAAATTTCATCAACCTAGCTGAAACGGTACTCAAGTTATCGTGTTCACAGACACACATACACACACATACACGCATACACACACAGACATACGTACAAGATTCTAAAACTAGGTTTTTCCGACTCGGGGAGCTGTAAAACGTCGAGATTTGCAAAAATCTCTTTTTTTACGATTACAATACTTTCTCTATACTTCGTATACGAGAATTTCAACAGATCTAGTCTATGTTTACAATTAGGGAAATTCATGTCAGTCCTAATTTGCAGAAAGTTTAATCATTACAAAAGCAGATAAAGATAAGAACTAACATATCCTATTTTTCATTATGTTTTATTACCCTGCTGTAACATAAAACGGGAAAAAAATCATCAACTTCCTTATAAGTAAACCAAGTTTGCTGTGAACTTTAACTTATTGTAATATCATTGCCAGTGGTAAGTAATGACTTAATTGGCAGGTTGAACAAAAAGGACTACTGGAAACATAATTGCCGTTACTTCTCTTATATGTCTAGTCATTTCTCACATTCAGACCCATTTTTCAATGATTCTACAATTCTACAGATAAAGTATAGGACGTTATGAGAATGATGATGACACGAATCTGGGTTCTTGGTTCTTATAACACCTCTTTTTTCCTGTTCCTTGGTGTATTTGAAATAATATCGTACCCAACGGATTAAAAGTAACTAAATCTTGACTATTGTTTCTTTAAAAATAAAATATGTGTGATCAAAAGTGAATAGAAAGTAATAAAATATTAAGACATTAAAATCTTATATGGAAGTATTTTAAATTTTGATAGGAACACATCTAATAGATTAAATATCCCACTTAGACAATTTCAAATGTGTTTTATTTAATCTGTTGAATACTACTTTAAACATATTATTTAATATTTTTTTTAATCACATAAAAAAATTATTTTGCATTTTATCTGCGAATACATATTGGGTTGAGGGTAGGATTTAAGCCAGTGAAGCCACAGTCGAAGATGCCCCTGCCAAAGTCGATGGTGATGGTTCCAGAGATGTCCTCTTGGTCAGATCCCTTGGACGCTGCTAGCGGGTAGCCCAGTGGGAAGTCTTGACCGAGGAAGTTGATGAAGTGCTGGTCGCCGTCTCTCTTCAACGTGCAGGTGAAGGGTTGGTCGATGCTGCCGTAGCAGCTGAAACTCTGGGTGTCGACATCTCTCAGCAAGTCCCGCAGTGGAGTCTGGGGAGTGGCTCACGTTTCAACAATAATTTTTATCACAAACAGGCATCACCATATAGATATAATAAATTATATTGAAACTAGCGTGTCCGTCCCCGCGCGTTGCCGCGGGGATAGAAGAAAGCAAGACGTAATTTGTTTTTAAAAAGAGGGTTTCATCATTGCGTTACTAATATTATATTCTTAGACGCGTGACCTTGTTTTCTAAAACTGACTTATTTAAATGTAAACAATGCCTACGCTTGGATCATATTTATCGGGGCATGGGTTTACCTACACTACTGCATGAAAGCCTTGAGTAGATGTTAATCACTAACCGTAATAGTGAGGTAGAATAGACTTTAGAAAACGCACTGGGAGAAAGGGAGAGCTACGAAGCTCCCGATTACACTACTGCAGGGGCGCCGCATAATGCCCTGGTTCCTTAAAACTAACGTAAGCGCCATGATGCTCAGAGGATAACATAGGGCGCCAAAGAGCATCCTGTCAGAGCGCCAGCGAACGCGCCTGATTTGGTGAGTGACTATAACGCCCCATCTTATCCATTGTCTATTGCACTGTTTAAAACGAGCTTAAGCGCCATAGGGCTCACGGGACAGACCAGGGGATCAAATCGAAACCAACAGGGGCACCAGTGGACGTGCCTGATTCTATATAGTTATTGTTCCTCATTGTGTCTTTAGTGTATAATTTTTTTAACGAACGCAGGCGCCATAGTACTAGGGGCCGGCGGTTGCGCTTGTTGCAGTTTTACCGCTGAATATAGAAGTTTCCCTTACCCGCTATGCAGGATGCCTAATTAAGTGATGCCAAGTGCCAACATAGCCGCTCTAGAATTCTAAGCGCCAAAACCTGTATTGACAAAATCTCGCACCCTATATGGTGCCGCCCATAAAAAGTTGTATTTTTTTTCGCAGAAATCTTCTTGGTAGTATTCACATTTATTCACCCAAAATTTATGACACTCGAATGAACGGTGCCGAACCGCATCCTGTTTTTAGTATACCGTATGTAGAGAAAAATCGGACCCTCAAAGGGCGCCGTCATTGCGAAATTAAAAAAAAAGAAAAAAAGATATAATGAAGAATCGAATCATACATTGCTCTCTCTCTCTCTCTCTCTCTCTCTCTCTCTCTCTCTCTCTGTCTATGCAAATATAGATAGATAAGGGTCGGAGTTGCCGGGTTAGTAATAGCTGCCAAATCAGATTAGTCCCGAGTTTGAACTCAAGGACAGATAAGGCTCGATAGATGGAAGAGTAACCCATCTATGAGAGGACAATCTAAAAATCAAATTATTGCGTTCTTGTTTTTTAATCTCTAAAATAACGTACAACGGCTTACTAAGCAAATCCAGAAACAAAATCCGGATGAATATGGAGTCCATGGCATAATATATTGACACGTAATACTTAATTGTGTTGGGGTAAATCACAATTACTTTAAGAACGAAGCAGAAGGAAAAGAAGCAGTAAAATAATAATACATTTCACCCACAATTTTAAAAATATTACAAACTCTTTAACTCAAATATAGCACATAAATTATTGTTTAAATGTATATATATAAACATAATATAAATTGCATTTAGGAAGCCTTCTTTGTTAAGCATTTTGACATTACTTTGTATATTTTATACTAGATATGATAACAATTTGTAATGTTTTTTCATATGTAATAATATATCAATATGAGAATTTTTAATATTAGAAAAATTATATGAAAACCTGTATAATAGCAAGCTTTTAAATACACTGGAAAAATAAAACATACTTCCTTAATAAAATCTATGGTAGCTCATGAGAACTCTTACATAGTTTAGCGGACAAAGCCCCTACGAATAAAATTAGTTTTATTTTATTTTTTTCCAATTAATTGAAAGCTTGTAATTATAATGGTTTTATCATGGTTTTTTTTTAATTTCCCGCATGGACGTCATAAATAAATGTCTCAAAGTGACTGGGTGGGAGGTTGGGTCTGGTATGGTGGGCATAATTTGATACTGGTTTGTGATGTGTATTGCAACCGACAGACCGTTTTCGAACTGGAAACGAGGTTGCCTAGTGTTATTTAAAAATAAAAGATCAAAACACTTACATAAAATGGAGGGACCGGTGGAGGAAGTGTATACATTTGGAAAAGGTGCTTTTCCTATGGAGTGGACAGTATTAAAAAAAATAAACAATAAAAATAGATAAACATTATGCATTTAAGAAATAATCTAAAGACTGTTAAAAATAACCATCTGATGGTAGATGGTCCGATGACGTAGAGTTCACCTGTATCTGTGATGTATCATTGTATCATATTATGGTCAGTAGTATTGAAGGCAATTTTGGATATTCTATATTCAATTATATATGAACAATAAAAATAATTTCATGTTTTTGTGTCCAATAAAAAACGCTTAATTAAGCAAAAAAAAGAAAACTAAAATATGTTTTAAATATCAAGCGCTAAGTCAGGTACCCATTATAACTGAGTGGACTCGTGAATGACCCACGGACTTAAGTTAGACAACCAATCTCAAGCTTTCTGTGTTAGTGATCGTGCACTACTGTACGACCACGTTTTTTATACCGTTTACTTTAGAATCGGAACCAAAATGATTGCTTTTATTTGTTTTAAAATAGCGCTAGTATTTTGACTCGTTTATCAGAATTAATCACAAACGTAAACAAACCTGGGCTGCGGAGCTGGAGCCAACAAAGGCAAGGGCGATTATTATTAAAAGCATCTTTGGATATTCTATATCTGCAAAATAAAAATAAAATAAAAATAAAATCAATTTCCTTTTTAAATATTTAGATTGTGTTTGTAAATTCATCAATACAGTTCTAAATATATGAACTATTAGTTTATTTTCGTCTAATATATTCACCATTTAAGATTTTTTTTTAAACCTAAAGGTTTTTCAAACCCTTACTAGCATAAAAAAATTTCAAATCTCTCAAAACAAAACACCCATCTAAGGTGATGGGTGCTTTATTTATTTTGTTTGTTAAAGAGATACAACCTCAACCCCCCCCCCCCCCCAACACACACACTTCCCCCCCCCCCCCTACTCAACCAGACTGGCGGATATTTCAAGGTAGCGTGCCCTCATTGCCAAGGGTCAATTTTATGTCATGGTAAGTTTTGGTATGATAGATCAGTATGTGTATTACAGAGACACTTATCCCACGGTCGTTTCTATTTCTGTCCATGGGTGGCTACAGTGTGAACTTTTGACTCCGCAGCACACTAAACTAAGTAGTGAAGAGAAACCTAGTTTGCACACCTTATTTTAATCTAGTTCTTATGCCATTTTATTTTCTCCCTTTTGATTATTATATATGCAATTGATGTTCATTGTTCATGTCTTTGATGCTGTGTAAAATCTATCAAATATATTATTATTACTGATTTAAATGTTTAAAACTATTGAATTAATAAAAAAAATAATAATAAAAAAAAAGTTTGAGGACTGTATAGATATAGATGTTTGAAAGGGAAGAATGTTTGCTTTGATGTGTCTCATTGTAATAACATAACTTTTCCGATTGCTTAAAATTTGTATAATTTTAATTCTCGGTAATCCCAATTTTTTTTTCAGCTCTACTTAAAAACCCAAATTCCCCCTCAGCCCACCACGCACGCCGAGAAAAAAAAATCCCTTGAATCACCATTTAATAACACATTTGCATTTTCAGTTTCAGGTTGGTTTTTAATTTTAATTTTAATTTATATTTAGACGTTATGTATTAGATCTATGTATAAGTAAACCATCTTAAATGAATGAAAGTAGGCTACAAGTAAGAAAGAAATATTACTATTGTAAATCTGTATTAGTCCTCACAAGCCGATGATGAAAACTTTAATACTAAAACGAACACACAACTGACGCTATAAATTACGTGTCTGAGGCGAAAAAAAAAGTATGTTACATAATTGTGTTAAAATAAATAACGGCTAATTGTGGTTTGTAAAATGTTATAATTTTCTTGTCTATCTGCCACAAAAAGTAGATGTTAATATTAGAGTAAAACTATCACTCACCACTGGCAATAGAATGACTGTGAAGTCACGTTTAGTCCGAGCTTGCCTTACTTATAGGTAAGGTAATTCTTTTTTATTTTTTTTATTTATTTTTTTTGTTATGTAAGAGATATGTCCAAAAAAAGATAAATAAAACATTTTAAAATTGTATCTCTTTTTCTAATTATTAGAATTTCTGCAATTCGGGTCTTGGAAGAATAACTAACTTTCTAAAACAAAGACTAAGGCTTTTTTTGTCTTAGCTTGTGTGGTTTAAATGGGGAGTGCTTGATTTTGCTTTCGAAATTATTTTAATTAAAAGACAGTCTAGTTATTAACTGTTTGCGTAAAATTAATATTAATTTTACTTAGTTGGATGTGTTTGTTTTAGTGTGTCCCACATTCAAGCACGCTCTTATACAAATGCCAACATGTGTTTATATTCAGCGGATCTGGGCATGGTTTTTTCCATGGTTGGAAATACTAAACAATAATCTGACACGATACAACTATTACAGCTGCTCATTAGAACGTGTTTACAATGACACAAACTGCCAGGTCAGCTTGACGTTATCTTTGGTTGACCTTATCTAAATTTAGACATTTCCATTTCCGGACACAAGTTCATCGCTATCTCCTACCATCTGTTCTGCCGACATGACCTTCTGATTTACTCATTTAATATTCTAGGGACATGTTTTTCTTTAAAGTTTGTTGTTTATAAAACTACATTTATTACGTTTATTAAAGGGTACGAAAAAAAATAGAATACATTTTTTTCCCATTTCTACAAAACAATAGTGAACTACTTTATATACAAGAAAAGCAATTTTAAATTAGCAAGTAAATTCAATTAATAAAATTAAGATAATGTGGATTGGATCTGAGTTACGTATATTTCCTTTAATATTTTTTTCCTGTAATTATATTATTTTCATGATTACTGTTAAAATGTAAAATATCTCAATTACAAGTTGAATTAAAAATACATTGCTAGTATTTATAAGCATGCGTAGTATTGTTCTTATATCGGGATGTGCCCATGCATCACCGAATATTTTCAATATTAAGTACAACGAAACTCTTTTGAGTTTTTGCAGAAGGAAATTAATTATTTTATGTAACCAATTTTTTTTTTAGGGAATGAATAATAGCTTAGTTACAAAAGCTAAAAGTATTTTTAATAATCATTTTTTTTTAAATCCTTCCATATTTGAAACTTTTGTCTATCTGTGTGCACTTAATTACTCATACCAGAAATTTTAATTATCTGATGGTGTGATTACTATTGGATTGTTGAACCTTCACCTCTATTACTCATGACGTGTTTCAAGCCAAGTCTCTTTAATCGTAATGTTTCAAGTATTTTGAGCTTTCCTGTTGAGAGAGCGAAGTTCAGAAGTAACGCATTCAAAAACCTGCAGACCGAATAGATGGATATTTTCAGAAGCATGATCGCTTCGTGATAAGAAAATCAAAATGCTCATGTACATTTTGTTATTTGATTTTTTTCAACACAGATGTGGTATGTAGTCACGAATAGATGCATATAAACACACATAGGCCTATACACGCAAATACAGACAGACAAACACATACGGAAATACCCACTTAGATACAGAGGTGCATATTCAATAACATTTGGACACACACTCAAACACAAATTCAAACATTAACACTTTAGAATATATTTATATTTAATACGTACATTTCTTTAATAGGTGCAGTGAATCTAGATCTGTCTTTATTAGATGTCAATCGTAGGAAGATTACAAATGTATACGACACTAATACGTTTATCTTTGAGTGTCACGTAAATAAAACAACAGAAACATCAAAGTTCTTTGTGTCAGCTACCTGCGATCTCCCAGGTGTTGTGGATAAAAAGAGTTTAGCTCCTGCAGCGTTTAAGTTTACAGTTAGCAGCTTCATGCACCAGGTCAAATGTGTTTGTGTCGCTGAACTTCCTGAGACTAAGACGTATGTACAGAAGGAACTACTGATTGAAGTCATACGTAAGTCAGCTAGGTAGCCTTCAGTGTGATGTAGTTTTCGTGATCATTTTAATTATTGAAATAATTGAAATAATTATAAAATACACAGTAATCTAAAATTGTTAAATAAAATTAAATCTAATAGCCGTTTATAAAAGACATCAGTAGCTATTGCAATTTTAAAATTATATCGTTCACCTAGTCTTTTGGTTGAAAATACATTGAATCTTAAAATATTTTGAAACAGGTTTTGATCTACTGGATTTTTGTGGAATTCAATTTTTAAATGTAATTTTTTCGTGAAATTATAGTTATAATTTTGAATTAATCAAGTTATTTATACACAGTCAGAACAAAAATAAAACTGAAGTAATTTCTCATATACATTTCAAGTATATTCTTGTATAAAAGTAAGGGGGATGACGCTTTCATGCATACTGGCTATAGACAGGTTTTTAAATTATTTTTTTAATACTTAAATTAAATAAATTGAATAGCTTTTCGAAAAGGGAATTACACACCAAATAATGTGTGCATTATAGAGCAAAAATAAGGACTTTAAAAAGAATCTATAATTATTTTATTTAAATAATTAAATGACTGATTAAGTCACATTTTGTGTAACAATGCATCGTCATGGAGTCTTGACCTACGAGAGAAGTTTTAAAGAAATCGTTCCAATAGTAGTACTCTGTTTTCAGAAATCGAAAATACCGTAAATTAAAATTTTCGTTCACCTGAAATTTGACAGAATCAAGGTAATAGCATCTTATTCACATCTTCATCTACATAACTTAAACGGTACTCAAGTTATCGGCATGGTAGAACACACAAATAGAGCAAAGTACAATTTCCGTTCATTGGTGGTCATTAAACAATTTAAAGCAATCGAACTATAAAATTGTGTACTTATATTCGAAATGTCATCTAACTACCTCAAACAGAGCTCACGTTATGGTCTTCACACTGAAATAGAATAAAATTCATTTCCGTTTAATCTTTCAAAATTTCAATTATCACATACAACGTATTACTTTTTTTTGTAAACGTTCGTCTTCCTAACTGAAAAGATAATTAAGTAATTAGCTTTTCAGAAACCAGAAGTTGAATAATCACCACTTCCAGTTCCGAAAATTATTCAAAAGTTAAAAAAAAACTAAAAATTCGATAAATCTGTATTTAGAATTTGTGTCCGATTGAAATAAGTCCCCCATACTACGTATATGATTAGGTACTGATGTGTAAAACGGTGAAATCTGTCAAAATTGCACATGATGTTTGTGAACAATTACAATACTTCTTCAATACTCTGTATACGAGCAAGTAAAATGCACCCAATCGGACTTCGCGGTCAATTTAGCAGATGAAGTAGAACTTATCTCTTTCTATTATTTTGACAGACAGTCAGGTACCTTTGAGAACTGCGATGACCTAGAGAAATCCTACGGATAAGTCTGTGATCTGAACTCGAGACTTTGAGTGACCACTCGTATGCTCTATCAACCGACTACACTCTCACGCATACTCTGTCTTACTCCCTACATATAATTTACGATGCGTTTACATTAATAATTTATCTAGTAGTATTTATAAACTTTCACATTTTTACAAACTTTTATTTAACTCACTTCCTCTATTTGTCGTCAGTCTGTCTGTCTAGATCGAAACTTGTTATTAAAACGTTTTTTTAATGAAATTTTTTTACAAGCTTTTATTTAACTCACTTCCTCGTCAGTCTGTCGTCATTCTAGATTGAAACGCCCGAGCGAAATTGAAGGCACTTCTAAATACGGTTCGTAGTTGGTACTTGGGTCAAGACATGACATTAAATTTGACTTAATTGGTTGCCTGATTAATTTGTTATGAATAAATTAAATGTTGGGGGTTGGCGTGGTTGAGTCGGTAAAGCTCATGGTTGCTAATTCGAAAAGTCTAGAGTTATGCTTAATTGTGATGGAAGCATGGTCGAGTCGGCAAAGCTCATGGTTAATAAATTCGAAAAAAGTCTCGAATTCAAACCCTCTGGCAGATAAGGCTGGACCCATCCCAACACTAAACATTAAGAACGAAGAAGAAGAAGAATTAAAATGTTGTCCAAATTAGTAGGCTGTCTCATCAAAATATTCCTTCCTATTTGACACGCGCCATCACGTTCAATAAGGCGTAATCATGTTCAATAGGTGCGCAATGGTTTTTAGTTATGTAACTCTATTGTAAATAAAACATATACAGTACTAGAAATTTTTTTATAAAAAACGTTTTAATAACAAGTTTATATGTAATAATGCACTAAAAAGGAGAAAATAAATTGTAAACTATTATTTAAATAACTCTAAAGAAAAGCGTGGGTCTCTTCCTAAATAAAAGTAAAGGTATCCAATAGATACTAAATAGACCCATGCTTTGCTTTATAGTTATTGAAATAGTAGTCTAAAATTTATTTTCTTCTTTTTAGTGCATTATTACATACAAGCTTGTTATTAAAACGTTTTGTATGACATTTTATTAACACATGATTATAAAATATAGACATAACTTTTTTTTCCGGAAAAAATACTAGATATATATGACCTTATAATGGATTGTCCACCAAGGGAGGCGAACCACCAAGGCATCTTCACATGCAGCTTCAAACAGCCCCATTGGTCAATGGGTCGTGTGTCAGTTTCGTGGAAACTTAATAGTTCTATGCTTATTAGTTGGAAATGAACAAGAGTGTACTAGTCTAAATAATAGGTACACTGGAGACATTAAAAAAACGACATTACAAACTGTGTCAAGGTTATTTGTCAACAAGGTAGACACATCATTTAAAGGACAGCTGTATTGTGTAGTAGAAGTTAACGCACATGTGTATCAAACTGATTGTAACACAATCGTTTATGGTAAGTATAGGGCACCCTCATTTTCACTCATAATGACTTTCATGATTTTTTTTCTGACATTTCCTCAAGTAGCAGAGTGGACGTGGGGGGGGGGGGGGGGTTAAAACTCTCAAATTTTGTCCAACGGCTCGGTGGACGTTCTACATCACAGTACTGCCCCCTCTCCCCCCACGGAGAAATGCCTGTTGAAAGCGTTTTAAGTAGTGAATTTTATTAATAAAAAATATATATGCATTCTTAGTATACGTGTTTATTGAGAGCGTTGCAGTGACAAGTTACTCAAACATTAGCGTTTATTATAAGAACAACATTTTAGGAATTTATTACGATGGATCGCCCACAATATAAAACTAACCTGTATGGTTTATAAGCTGGTTATAAAGCTGTTTATAAATGCGTCCCGACTGTTAAATAAATTTAGATATCAAACTAACTGTCATGTAACTAATTATATTAATCGATTCGAAAGAGGCATTTCAATGTAGTGATAATAATGAAATACAATTTACACTTTAAAATTACATGTTCAAATTATTTTTTTTTAAATTCTTCCACTTGTGTGTATAACATTTTATTAATCTATTTTGAATTAGTCCAACCAGATCACCCCTTGTGGCTTCTAGATAATACAACTAACTGGAGTGATTTAAGAGAAGGCGATTACAGAGACATAACATGCCAAGCCTTGAATGGAGAACCTTGTGTCCGCTCTATGTCTATTGAGTGCAAGAAAGGAAGTGAGATGATGGCGTCTGCCGCCGCTGCTAGCAACAAAGTATACATGAGAATCCTCCTGAACAGAACTATGGATCAGATGACATGCTTCTGTCAAGCAAAGCATGTGCTACGTGAATTCAGAGCGAATCAAACATTCAACGTCAAATGTAGGTTAATTAATTGGTTTGTTGATTTTATTTTGGATTTATTATACTGTCGCTAACTCGTAATGCCTCTAACACCAATGTTTTAATTGTTATATAGGCTTACTTCCTACTTTACACTACACCGTTAACTGGGAAGGAGTATCAAACATTCAAAAGTTTCTTAGCGTTTTGACCACAGCGCTCTTAACCTGTTTGATCTTGTAAATTTCATAAAAATATATGTGTGCATCAAGTGAATGTCAAACATACGGACAAAACTGCAAAGCTGTTTTTTCGACTCAACAAGGTGTAAAACGTCGAGATTTGTAAAAATCTCGATTTTTTTTGTACGATTACAATACTTTCCATATACTTCGTATACGACATAGTAAAAAAAAGACAAGCGAAGTGCAAAGCAGTGAAGAAAAAGTAAGGGAAAATAACAAAATATTGTATAGCAACTTTTAGGTTCAATTTTGTTCTGCGAAGTTTAGGTTTCGTTACGTTTATGGTCAAAGTGTAGCTTTAAGAGTGTAATGAGTACGTGACCGAAAGAGATAAGCAATAATCAGCAATTGTGCGAAGTTAATGGCATTTGAATTAATTATAATGGCCACAAAAACTTATTTGAGCTACAAACAATTTGACATACGAGCAATGTTACTGAACAAATTCAACTCATATTTTGGGCCACCACTATATATATATATATATATATATATATATATATATATATATATATATATATATATATTCAATATATTTTCATTATATATTCAATATATATAATTCATATGTGTGTGTGTGGTGTGTGTATACGCACGTGTATGTTTTGTAATCAGCTACGTTTATCGGTTTCTAATGCGAAAATGGTAATGGTGAATGCAGAGGCGTCGCGAGGGTGGGTGCGGGGTATATATGTCCCCGGGCGCCGACAATAGGTGGCGCCAAGATGGGTTGGAAAAATTAAAAGCTCATTTTGCATTTTAAATATAAAAAAAATATATGGGGGGGGGGAGGCGCCTAAATTGAAAGTTTGTCCCCGGGCGACGGTAAGGGTCGCTATGCTTCTGAGTGAATGGAGAAGTGTATTACTTGTTTTGGATTTTAACATGTATGTTCATTTAATTGTTTTTAAAGTCAGTCGTAAGTTTATGTATAATATTATTTTGGAAAGAGAGTGAAAATTTCAAGTTAAGACATACTAAACAACACTACAAATGAAATACGTATACATTTTTTTTTCTATTCCGATCTTAATGGAATGTTTCTGTTTTTGACTTAGATCGCCCGCTTTGTCCTCATAACTTAACAGTTGTAACCGTGGGTGTAAGCTTTATAACATTTTCCTGGACACCTGGATTTGACGGCGGACTGCGTCAAAGTTTTATCATTCAAGATGTGACAAGAGGAAATATTCTGGCGAATATCAGTGACGACAAGACGGGTGGAGTTCACGTGGTTTATAACATCACTGGCTTACCAGGGAACACAGGATACACAGTATCCGTTGATGCCGAGAACAATGAGGGGAGAACACTCTGCCGTCAGAATTCTATAAACGTTACCACTGCAGGCAAAAATCATACTTTTTTTTTCACAATTTTTGTCCATATTTTCACACTTTTCCATACTTTTATTAACCGTTCAAATAGAATAATAAATAAGTTTATTGAAGTCAGTAAGCTTAAAATATATTGACTCATCCAAAGCAGCACATCGTTTAAGAAAAAAGAATTATTTTAATTGAAATGTTGCTTGAACAACCAGTAAAGAACGGAATATGCCATATTTTAATGACAATATTTGCAATATTTAGACACATATTAACCTTTCAACGTTTTAAAGATAGTATTAAACTGCAAACGTCTTGATAAAACTGCGTTTTATACGGCAGCATTATATATATATATATATATATATATATATATATATATATATATATATATATATATATATATATATATATATATATATATATATATATATATATATAAACTTTAAACATATGTTTATAAATATATATATGTACATATATATATATATATATATATATATATATATATATATATATATAAACATATGTTTAAAGTTTGTAAATATTTTTTAGCTATCACAGAGGCGAGTGCTATGACCACTGTAGTTATTTCAACTACTGCTATTTTTAGTTTTGTAGTTGTCATAGCTATCATTACATTAGCACTACTGGTCTTGAGAAAATCGATTCTTCAAAAAGGTAACGGAATTATAAATTATGTGCTATAAACACGAACGTATGATATTTAAGTAATGTATGTTGGATTTACAATTTAAATGATAGCAATCGGGATGTAAATGCCGAACAGCTTTTAATCTACCCTAATTGTCTTGTAAGCTAGGAGCAGCAACCCATGTATGGGAGAAAACCCCGAAATCAAATTGGAGGGTTACCAACTGGTTTCCTTTCGGCAGCTTCTATAACCGAACATGGCAACAAACGTGTTGCTTAACAGTGGCGTATCGAGGTCGGATGTAATCCGGTGCTGCACTTAATGGTGTCAACCCCCAGAGGCGCAGCGACAAACTTTCAATTTTCGATTTGCACCCCTATTGAAACTTTTGATTTGCACCCCCCCCTCCGTCAATTTTTTCTCAATATATTTTGCTATTTTTCGCCTTGGTGTCACCCCCCCTAAATGGTGTCACCCGTGCGTTCCGCACTCCCCGTCCCCCTCCCTCAGTTACGCATCTGTTGCTTAACATTCCTTTAGATTAAAACAAATTTGACGGAGTGATCACGATGCATGAATCGTTTCATCTAATGCCCTAGTAAACATCTTCAGAATTGTACTTCCTCTGGGTGCATACATTGTGTCTTTTTTAAAAACATATATTAAATATGAATTAAAACTTCTATTCAATCAAAATTGTATTTTATTAGAAAAAGCGGGCAGACTTAAAATAAATATCGAAGCTATCACCGGCGTATATGTAGGCCTATTGCAGCAAACACATTTTGAAGGTACTAATTTATGTATTAAAGTCTTGTTCTTTGGTTCTGCTTGTTGTAATACATTGCATACACCACAAGCAAGTATAATATATGTTGAAACCATGAAAATAACTTTTTAAATACAAATATTTGACATCAAATACACCATTGTATACATATATATATATATATATATATATATATATATATATATATATATAAGATAAAAAAAATAAACGTATTCGGATACAGGTGAAGATACAAATAATCAGAACGAAGCCATTTATATCAACCAGCCAATTAGTACGGCTTCTGTCAGTTACTTTGCTTCTATAACAGGAGAAAGAGAAAGCACAGACATCTATAGAAACGTGAGTGTTGCTTGATTAGGACCATACAATAACTCTTTATGAAACGTTTTATTAAACAAACGCATTGCAAAGATATTCTTAAAATCATCGTACACATTAATTGTAAAAGAAAACGATATTCCAAGACGTTTTTATAAAGATAGTTAGTGGATACTAATTTAAAATACTTCGTAGGGGAAAAAATGTGCGATAGAAATTTACATTATGTAATATTGCTAATAATTTTAAAATTGTTTGACCCTTGTTTTATATATATATATATATATATATACATATATACATATATGTATATATATATATAAATATATGTATGGGGTCGTCCATAAATGACGTCACGCTTTTTAAGCCATTTTTTTACCCCCTCCCCCCCTACGTCACACATCGTCACAAAAATTCAGACCCCCCCCTAAAATGACGTCACACTCCACCCCACCCCCCTAATTTACAATTTATCCTATGTTTTAAATTTGCTGTGTTTTCATCCCTTTAAAATTACCGCTCGTTGACACAGCATTAAAAATGAGCACGCAGGACCCATTCGTGGCACCAGCAGGTAAGCAGTAATACAGTGAGGTGATGTTAAAGCTGATAAGATTAATTTTTTTTTAAAATACTTAATGTAAATGTAGGTATTTCTTGCAGACATGACGACACACGTGAGAATAACCATATATTGAGTATAATATGCAAATTATTTAAATGTCAGCAGTATACCCAGACCTTTAATTTTCCTAGTATATTTCATTGTAGCCTATATGATGGACTTAACGGATGTCATCTCTCACAAAGCAATATAAATGTAATTGATTTTTAATAGTAAAGACTCTCCACTAGATTATTAAATTGCGTGTTTTGCTGTTAGCGAAGAGGATGTTGAAATAGGACAAGAAATACTTTCACACTGACTTAAATCTAAGCAAGCTTTATAGAAATTTTATTAATAGCGATTAAATAATAATATCAGTAACAAGTTATACTTAACCGACGATATCTATATACATTCATATTTCTATATCTTAGCAAGATCATTAACAGAAGTATTTTAAAAAACTACTTACAACAGTATTAATATGGCAATCCTAAATTAAAAGTTGTGATATTTAATTTTAAGCTTATTCATTCTCCCATGGAGAATTAAAATGTTCCTTCATTGAATACATAGGGACGGAATTGATTTTTTTCCTGTATGTAATGGGAATTCCCTTTACATCAAGGTCTTCCTCTTCTATCCAATCTACACTCTCACCATTAATTTCATTGGCAATTATAACCATCAGTTCACGTTGGCGACGTGCAGCAACTCTCAGAGGCCTGATGCGCTGTAATGGCACAATTGATGATTCCTGTTTGTGAGTTAAAGAATGATTGCGCAGCATAACCAATGAAGAGAAGTATGAATGACACTTCTTACAAACCCTGTCGCTGATCACGGATTGAACAGACGGACAATACAAATCATAAGGGATTGTGCGATAAGGATTTGAAGAGCGGGAAAGGATTTCATCCACTTTTATACTTTGAGCAACAAAAAGAGATGGAAATTTATGTGAAGAGCCATCTGTTGAACGCTCAGGTATTGTTAGTCCACAGCTTGTTTGGGCGACTGATAAAGGTGGAGGAAGAAATCTATCAGTTATTACGCTGAAATACGAGCTTCTTGGCTTTGAGCAACATTTACCATCCATGCATTTAACGATCTGAGTCAAATACTGGCTAGTTCTCACATGAATATCATGCCAACGCTGATCTTTTGAGAGCAGAGAAGTTTCAAGGAGTTCAGACTCTTCTGGATCTATGTATGCCGCCACTGTAGGAAATGTATCCACTGTCAAGTGTGACCATATTTCTGCCAAAGTGTTTCCGGCAAACTGAAAATTTTTCTTCTCTAAATCTGTGTCTATTGTGACTCCTCTTTCATCCAAATGACTGCCGTAGTGGTCATGGGGTAAAACTAATCCTGTGAGCTCATTGCTATGTGGCGCCATTTTTCTTTCAACCCTATTAAATGCACTTCTTCCTGGTGCATTTGTAGCAATGAACATACCATCATAGTTCTGATTGAGAAAGTGGTGTACCGCAACTTTGATCACCTTTTGATACCTAGGATTTTCGTCTGGGCCACCATCAACCGTCAACACTAATATTGGTTTAACAATTTGATCCACACCGCTCTTTGTGATATCATCAAATTCATGTAAAGTAAGTAATTTTTCAAAATCAAGTCCATGACTAAGCGCTGTGGATGAGGAATGTTTACCAGATCTGATTGATATGTATGTTGGGCCGGAGTATCCAACAGGTTCTCGATTTCCCAAGGCGTTGGGCTGAATTTTTATCCCTGCATAAACTGAAGGGATCAGCTTATGTCCAGCAGCCACAACCCAGTCATGGTCAGGCAAGCTCACCCTGTATTCCATGTGCATGAGCAATGGACTCTGTTTTTTAGCTGCTGTTAACCCAAGCGGAACGCGGGCCTTGTCATCTTGACTTATAAAGCATACCTCATTCGGTCCAAGCATGGAAGCTAACTCTTCTAGGTGATGCAGTGTTGCCGCTGTAAACAAGCGATCAATGTGATTTGCATGGCAATCGTTTTGCGCTCTTATCAGTTTTACTGGGACTGTCGATACATATCGTTGCCCTTCATGAGAAGAAGTACGTCTTGGCAACAGTCGAAGGTACAGCCCACTTCTACTAATTATAAACCCATCCTGTTTTAACTGATCAGTTAGCTGATCTAATGTTTTAATAGTCCTGTAGACTTCGTTCTGCCTCCTCTCGTGTGATGCTGATCCATGCATAGCTATGTTTATGATAGTTTCCAATAAAGAAGATTGATCTTCTTCAATCCTTGGCCTGCCAGAATTAGATCTAACATTCAAAGTGGCGCGTAGCCCCGGATTCTCTTCAAACAAAGCATTCAGTTTTCTTTTCTTTTCATTTCGAGCTTTCTGAGATCTTATTTGATCTGATATCTTCCTCTTTAGCTTTTTTTCCAAATCACTCTTTTTCTGTTTCTTTTCTTTAAGCTCCATGTTCTGTTCTTGCGTTAACATTCCGCGAGTTTGTCGCGCATACAAGCCAACTAGATCAGAATTCAGAATCTCAATCTCTGATTGTAAGTTTATCTGGACTGTAGCCTGCTTAGATGTTGATGGTTTGCTGGTAGAGGGTTTGAAATCACTGACTTCATGAGCATCGTTCACTTTTTCATCTGACTTCAGTGACTTATTAGTATTAGGTATTTCTTTTGCCAAATCATAGGGTGTTTTCTTATTTGTAGATGTAGATACAGATGTTTGTTTGGCCCAAAACTTCAAAAGTGAGCCTTTTTTAGCGGCAGCAATTGCTTTTAGCTCTTGCAGCCAGACTTCCGCTTTCAAGTGAAGATCTAAATCGCTTTTTAGTTGAGTCCACTTTTCAACGACTTCTTCTTGGCAAATCTTTTTACTCTTTTTAGGATATGCCAGCACGTAGGCATCAAAAATACATTGGAACATTTTATTTTTATCCATCATTAACTGTCGATTTTTAAGCAGTATATATGAGATTATTAGATCTACCTTTCAATTGAAAAGCCTCACACAGACAAAGTTGATTCAGCAAGACACGTGTAGGCCTATTAAAGTTGATCGAATAAACACGCATCACAAGCTGACCCTACACACATCCGCTTTTTTTTGGCCGCACCTACAAAAATCACGTGATCTCGACCTTGGAACTGATCGTACTAGTTATTTTTCCACTAGATCGTTCAACAAGCATGAGCTATGGGCATGAACACCATGATGTAAGGGAGACAAGGCGTGTCATTAAGGGCAAGAGTCGCAGCCCTAAGTGTGAACATAAGTTTTTAAATAAAATATTCGGAAAACGGGGTTTAAAGTTTTATTATGACTGCCCTACTCTGTAAACTTCAAAGAATAGCAAGCATTACACTGATACCCATGCCTCACCCTCACTAGTTGATACGCTTCCGACCTTTATTCATATAGCAGTATTGACAAATTTGCATATACGGCAGTCTACTACACAACACACATCATCAAATTATAGGGCAATTTAATTAGAACAAATACATTATTCACAATCTTTTGACAACTTAGAAGTATCGCAACCAATGTAAAAAACTTATTTAGTATTTAGTATGTTTATTTTTCTAAAAACTAAAAAAATGCATGTTAATCAATTCGTGGAATTAAGACAACGTGACGTCACACTGTCTCTACCCCCCCCCCTCCCCCTCGTCACACATCGTCACAAAAGTCTGAACCCCCTCCCCCCCTAGGCGTGTGACGTCATTTATGGACGACCCCTATATATATATAAATATATAAATATATATATAAATAAATAAATAAATAAATATATATATATATATATATATATATATATATATATATATATATATATATATATATATATATATATATATAATTTCATCATATGCAACTCAATGTTACAGTAAACCTATTTTGAAATAGGTTTTATTATAACAATATGTCGTTACCCTTTTCCGTGTTTTTGTTAAATCGCAAACAGGTGCCAACAAATGAACTTAATGAGGCGGTGGATAGACTAGAAGAGGAACCTGGTCGCTACAGAAACGATGACGGCCTTATGTACATCCGCGTTGAGAAGAATATTCTAACAAAATGCCAACAGATGATGGGTGTGAGGACAGATGAAGTGCAGGCAATCGAATATGCAACAATAAAATGTAATACCAAGTAAACACAACCTTAGGCAATGCAGATAGATGCAACTTACACTGTTTATAACACTTAGCGATATAAATAGAAACTTTTTTTTTCAAAATACAGTAGAGTGTTTTTAAGATAAACAATTGACGAGTGTATATCAATAAAATATTTTTAAAATATTTAATCAATTTTTGAACATATTTCTGTCAGACACATTGGTTGATATACCTTATTTTACATTTTTTAGTTTTTTTGAAAAACAGAACACCATAGCTCACAGAATCGTATCATGAATATTGATAAAATGACAATAGCCCAAAGAAATTAACAAAACAAAAATTGTAGCTACAAAAAAAATTTCATATTTCAATGTAAAACTTAAAACTGAATACATTTTCTAGACAATAGTATTCTTCGTCAAGAAGGTATATGTTACCTGCCATTATGAAACCTCGTTATCTTTTGTATACTTAGGCAATGCATATAATTCCTCTCGTTGTCAGGCAAGGTATGAAATATAGGAGTGATTCTATCATTTTCCTAGGAGTTACATAAAATTCCTATGAAATATAGGAGTGATTCCAACATTAACCTAGGAGTTTCATAAAATTCCTATTAAATATAGGAGTGATTCCAACATTAACCTAGGAGTTTCATAAAATTCCTATTAAATATAGGAGTGATTCCAACATTAACCTAGGAGTTACATAAAATTCCTATTAAATATAGGAGTGATTCCAACATTAACCTAGGAGTTACATAAAATTCCTATGAAATATCGGAGTGATTCCAACATTAACCTAGGACTTACATACAATTCCTAAGCATTATAAAAATGAAAAGTGTGAAATGCCCTGATTGGACAAGTCTTCCCTAAATCTAACCCTAACATTAATTTTACACTGCTATTTGGGCATTCAATAGAATAAATCGAAAATGTATGAAATATGATGCATTTCAAAATGAGATGTTTAAAAATGTTTAAAAAAATATTATTTAAGAGTCCGAATATTACTAATCAGTTTCAAATTTACGGAATAATTTATTTCTGTTTTAATTAAAGCGGGAAATTATCATTAGAAAACCGAACCTTTGTCCAGTGGGAAGATTAGTTAAAATACAGAGAGAAAAGTCTATCTACAGATGCATAGGCGCCTTCTGACCAATCCACTTCATGAGTCTTGGCATGGTCAGCCCCAACTATAAACACGTCATCGGCCGGTGACGGGCGTTGAATGGTTGAGATGACGTCATCATAACGATAACCTGTTCTCCAAATGACGTAGCCGTAGCCGGGAGAATAAGACGCCCAGAATTGTGACAATGACGTCAGCGGTGTCGGGATCTCATCACGTCTGATGCCGTATGCTTTAGCCAGGTCGGTCAGGATGCTTTCGGTCAGTTGTTCTTCGTTGAGCGTGAACAGTTTTCTGGTTAAAGCCTCATCGGCGTAACTCGCCAGCAGGGCGTAGACGCCTGTGACGTTTGACCTGCCCCAGTCGTACGCTTGACCGAACCCCCGGTCAGAAAACATGACCGAGGCGGCGTGGGGTGAGGCTTGCAGCCACCAGGGGTCAGGGAACGTCATGAAAACTTTGCTGGCTGGGACTTCTTTGACGGCGTTTATGGCATCACGGACTCTCTTGTCTCTAGGTGAATACAATTGTAATGTTTAGAATCGAATCGTCTCTAGGTGAATACAATTGTAATGTTTAGAATCGAATCGTCTCTAGGTGAATATAATTGTAATGTTTAGAATCGAATCGTCTCTAGGTGAATATAATTGTAATGTTTAGAATCGAATCGTCTCTAGGTGAATATAATTGTAATGTTTAGAATCGAATCGTCTCTAGGTGAATATAATTGTAATGTTTAGAATCGAATCGTCTCTAGGTGAAAATAATTGTAATGTTTAGAATCGAATCGTCTCTAGGTGAATATAATTGTAATGTTTAGAATCGAATCGTCTCTAGGTGAATATAATTGTAATGTTTAGAATCGAATCGTCTCTAGGTGAATATAATTGTAATGTTTAGAATCGAATCGTCTCTAGGTGAATATAATTGTAATGTTTAGAATCGAATCGTCTCTAGGTGAATATAATTGTAATGTTTAGAATCGAATCGTCTCTAGGTGAATACAATTGTAATGTTTAGAATCAAATGTCATCTGGTATAATAATCAAGGCAAACAAAATATATGCAAACTTATTAATACAAATCCCATATACATAGCAAAACGCTTAACCATAACCATGTAAATGGTTCCATAATCCAATAAACCGTTGGATAATAACGTATTGGAAACCCTAGCACAACGCCTGGGCTGTAGATTGAGAAATGCCAGATGATGCCCATGTATCGTACCCCCTCACTCCACACAAGTGATGGACCCTAGGGACAGGCCCTTAGCTGTACAGCTCGGACTCAGCAGTGTCGCAGGAGATGCCGAAAGAAAACCAGAGTTGGTAATCCAAACACTGCTTTTTGAAGGGGCAACGCCAACCTTCAAGCACAACTACCCCACCCCGTCGTACGAATTAGAATACTTGAATTTATATAGGAAATATTTTACCAGTTCCCGCCCCCTCCCTCAGAAAATTTTAGTCACTGCCCTTCCCGCCCCCCCCCCCCCCCGCACGTTTTAAGTGCCACATAAAAGTTTGGGCAAAAAAGGGCACCGAATCATATCGGCTAAGCGGCACCACTGATATATTTCGGAATTTTCTATCCCAAATGTTGCTGTCCCCAGTCGACGAGCCTCATCAACCCGATCTATAAATAGCATCAATACATTACCTAAGCGGTTTCCAATTGATTTTTGTCAAAGTTAACTTGGGCACGGCTAAGATCACTTTCTTGGCACATACAACATCTCGTTCAAGCTGAAAGTAAAGGTTCGTGTCCATCAGATCCATAGATAAATATGATACTGGTTAATGATGGATCTATTCTTAGAGTTGATGGGTTAGGGCTATCGGAATAGGTCAAATCGTTTTCAATTAAATTAAATCATTGCAGCCGTTTATTCAAGAATACTATACTCTTGCTATACTCCAGGGTGAGTCGGGGAGTGGGTGGATCTGCTCAGTCTACTTCCCCACCCCTCCCCTGGACGAAATAGAAAAAATATTAACCTGAAAATATCCATAAAATGTTTAGTGTGTTTACCGGAAGTTTCAAGTGCACACCGTCACGGATACATGTGAACCCTACATTTTTTTAACCGGAAAAATGGAAAGAAACTTTGCCTTTCCTCACACCCTCCCCCGAACACACATGAATTATTATGGTATTATTACCGTGTCGAATGTGTTTCCATTGTGTGTGCTAGTGTGCATAAGGTGAAGAACATAAACATCAGAAGAATTCTCTATGGACACCAGCCGTCGGTTTAGGTAGAGTTTGTTTCTGTTTAAATTAAATCATCAGGTTAATTGATGTCCGTGTTGAGTGATCATGTTATTTCATTCTAAATATCTAATTATCTAATACAAACAAATTACACACAATTAAAAAAAAAACTTAAACCAACTTCTATCAAACTTTACTGTAAACCAAATGTTTTGCATTATGTTTACGAACAAAGTTAATTGCTAATGGAAGTTGATGCTAGAGATAGTGAGTGTAAGAAAATACGCCGCGTATAAAACACAATGCAATCTGCCCAGCTTCGCTTAGGCTTTCGAAAACATTTAGAATTTGAATGCTTAATTAATTCGCCCGAGGGTCGGTCTACGACCTCAGGAGTTATGTAGCAGATACGTGTTACTGAAACTGACCTTTCACTGGCTTTGAGAAATTCGTCTATAAATCTCACTGGTAGGGCACTCATTCCTTCTTTAATTGTGTGTACTGCATAATCACCACTAGCAGACAATAAAAAATGTATTTAAAAGGCATACATCAATAAAGCAAGCTTACAATAGGGCGTGTAAGTCTCGTTCTCTCTCACTTAAAATTTGAAATCTTGCTAGCCAGGAGAGATATACATTTTCGAACCCAACTAATTGTTTTGAACATGATGATTCCCATTGATAAAAAAACCACGGAGGCTATTTATTTCTACGCTTCACTTAAAGTTTTTGAAATATTATGAGTACCAAAACAAAACAATTATAACATGTTACTATTGAAAGAATCAAATTAAGGTTTAAGGTTTACTTTTGATGGTAAATGATGGCTACAAACATTGGTTACCTTTGATGGCCAAGACTGGCTACAAACATTGGTTACCTTTGTGGGTTAAGACTGGCTATAAACATTGGTTACCTTTGTGGGTTAAGGCTGGCTACAAACGTTGGTTACCTTTGATGGCCAAGACTGGCTACAAACATTGGTTACCTTTGTGGGTTAAGGCTGGCTACAAACATTGGTTACTTGTGAGGGTCAAGACTGGCTACAAACTTTGGTTACCTTTGATGGCCAAGACTGGCTACAAACATTGGGGCCAAGGCCGGCTACAAACATTGGTTACCTTTGAGGGTCAAGTCTGGCTACAAATATTGGGGTCAAGGCTGGCTACAAACATTGGTTACCTTTGAGGGTCAAGTCTGGCTACAAATATTGGGGTCAAGGCTGGCTACAAACATTGGTTACCTTTGAGGGTCAAGTCTGGCTACAAATATTGGGGTCAAGGCTGGCTACAAACATTGGTTACCTTTGAGGGTCAAGTCTGGCTACAAATATTGGGGTCAAGGCTGGCTACAAACATTGGTTACCTTTGAGGGTCAAGTCTGGCTACAAATATTGGGGTCAAGGATGGCTACAAACATTGGTTACCTTTGCGGTTCAAGTCTGGCTACAAATATTGGGGTCAAGGATGGCTACAAACATTGGTTACCTTTGTGGGTTAAGGTTGGCTACAAACATTGGTTACCTTTGTGGGTTAAGGCTGGCTACAAACATTGGTTACCTTTGTGGGTTAAGGCTGGCTACAAACATTGGTTACCTATAAGGGCCAAGGCCGACAACAAACATGGCCAATGGAGAAACATCTGGCGCGCTGTAACCCTGGAAGATGGCTAAGGCTTGAAGGAAGGCTTTCCCCTCGGCTGTGGCAACCTTGTCAAAAGCCTCGTCAAACCTGAAATAGGGCGAGTCGACAGCGTTTTTATTTTAGAGTGTTGGCTTGCATTGACTTTTATTTAGCCGTGTCTGATTGTCTTAAATGTTGACTAGACTTTGTAATAGAATATGTAGACGCATGTTTACCTAGGAATATGTGCATGTATTTACGCTTAATCGTGTAAGTGAGCCTTGATTTTAGTCATTTATTTGTCAAGTATAGGCGATATAGGCTAAGGCTAATATAGCCATACCATAGTATCAACTTACACCACCTAAATCCGCATACGTAACCAATGACTGATTACGGCACTGCCTACTACTTACGTTTACATTGTCAACTACGTATACATTGGCCACCTACGACACCATTGCCCACATACGTTAATATTGACCACTTACATCATCACTGACCACTTACGTCACCACTGACCACTTACTTCACCACTGACCACCGACGTCACCACTGACCACTTACATCACCACTGACTACTTACGTCACCACTGACCACTTACATCACCACTGTCCACTTACGTCACCACTGACTACCGACGTCACCACTGTCCACTTACGTCACCACTGACCACCGACGTCACCACTGACCACTTACGTCACCACTGACTACTTACGTCACCACTGACCACTTACATCACCACTGACCACTTACATCACCACTGACCACTTACGTCACCACTGACTACTTACGTCACCACTGACCACTTACGTCACCACTGACCGCCGACGTCACCACTGACCACTTACATCACCACTGACTACTTACGTCACCACTGACCACTTACGTCACCACTGACTACTTACGTCACCACTGACCACTTACATCACCACTGACCACTTACATCACCACTGACCACTTACGTCACCACTGACTACTTACGTCACCACTGACCACTTACGTCACCACTGACCGCCGACGTCACCACTGACCACTTACATCACCACTGACTACTTACGTCACCACTGACCACTTACGTCACCAATGACTACTTACGTCACCACTGACCACTTACGTTACCACTGAGCACTTACGTCACCACTGACCACTTACGTCACCAATGACTACTTACATCACCACTGTCCACTTACGTCACCAATGACTACTTACATCACCACTGTCCACTTACGTCACCAATGACTACTTACGTCACCACTGACCACTTACGTTACCACTGAGCACTTACATCACCACTGTCCACTTACGTCATCACTGACTACCGACGTCACCACTGACCACTTAAGTCACCACTGACTACCTACGTCACCACTGAGCACTTACGAGACGGTGTACATGTAACGCCCGTCATGTAGTTTTAGCTGCTCTAGAATGTCGGGTGTGACATCTGTACCATTGTAGCCTGTCATCTTCTCTAGGTAGTACCTGTGGTACAACAATATTATACAGTTAGATATCCCTACACCAACTACCTAGAGGCATGACCTCTGTACCATTGTAACCTGTCATTTTCTCTAGGTAGTACCTGTGGTACAACAATAATATACAATTAGACATCACACCTACTACCTAGAGGCATGACATCTGTACCTTTGTAGCTGTCATTTTCTCCAGGTAGTAGTTGAGGTACGTCAACCTAAAGTTAGAGATTTATCTACACCTACAGCCTAGAGACAATCTTAGGGGCGATCTGTGCTTAGCAGTTACGACAACAATATAAAAACCACTGCGCACTATTGAACGTGATGACGCGCTTTTGTCGTAGAGCCCATCCCCCTCCCCCCCTTGCTCCACACCCAAGAGGGCTGTGATAGAACTGCCTACTTATTCTGTCCGAATTTTAATTAATTCATAAAATAATAATTAGACGACCAGTTTAGTCAAATTAAAAGTCACGATGCATTGTCTCCATGTCTTGACCCACGTACCAATTACGAACCATAACTGTCAGTTAGAAGTGATAATCGTATAATATATAACATTCCATGATTGTTTGTGTTGTGTGCTCGAACGTCAGGTGTAGTAGCCCTTGGTTGAGTGTGTTTACACAAAACGAGATGTGTTCACGTGAAGACGGGTCAGTTGAAGGGTGACATAGCGTGTGCTAGGGTGTGTGGACAGCGAGAGGACGTGTTGTGGACGAAGTTGCTGTAAGTATTGTTCTATCAAATGTTGGCAATATTTATCTCTTGTATTAAACCTTTTCTGGAAGATATTTGAAGTCGACCCTTATATCCGTAGTGTAACGAAACCCCGGCCCGGCCTCAACTACCCAGGTGGGGATGTTAATATTTTTGAAAGCCCATTACCGAAACAAACGCCCCTGATTTGCCTTTTCCTCTGGGCTCAAGTCGTAAGGCACGTCTCCGCCCCTGACTTGTTCACTGGTGAGAGTTCTGCCCCTTAGGTAGTAGTGGGCGTTGACTGTGTTCCCATGATGCAAGGCAAACGGTTCTTTCGTCAGCCCTGGTGAACGAAGGTAAAGTATAATATTTTAGGTCATGTTCTTTATTAACATTCCTAATCTAGCATTAGCGTCACATATCGTGTGTGCTATGGTCTTTAATTAAACACAGCATAATTATTCAAACCTCACCCACAGTCCTAGACAGCTGGTCGACTCTGGTATGAACTTCCGGTATGAACCTCATCCCCCCTAACTCCAGCAGAAGGTCAGGAGCGTTGGGGAGGGTCGCCGTGTACAGCCTCCCACCCACACGGTCAGATAACTCGAACACCTCTACTGCCATGTTGGTGTATCGGAGTTTGTAGGCAGCGTACGACCCACTGGGCCCAGCCCCCACTATGGCTACGTCCACGGTCCTTGAGCAGACGACTATGGAACACAGGATCAGTGTGGATTATGCTATGAGTGTGGCTATGGAAGACATGGTCATTGTGGATTACGCTATGAGTGTTTATAAACAGTATATTTAAAAATGCTAACAATTTGGTTAACTTTAAAGTACTTTAAACATGTAAACTAATAATCTAGATTTAATGTAACGAAATATGTTACGAGTGGCTTATTTCATGTATTCTTTTTAAAAAGATTAACGTTTATAAAAATAACACTTAATTTTTTTTTTTAATTGATGTCTGACGATACTAAAATGTGTATTCATCATTATTTCTCGTTCGTGCCCAAGACACATGGGGCAGATGAAGTAGAGTTCAACTGCTTCAGAGACCTGGGCATATGAGGAGATAGTGTGGTCAGCACTACGTCCAGCCGCCTTTGTTTCCCTTACGTGAGTTAGGTACCTATCAGAGCTAGGTGGACTCAGAGACGTTCAATTAATTTGAACCCGGATTCGAATTCAAAACTTTCAAGTTAGCAGTCTAGCTCTCTACCGCTAGGCCACTCCGTCCCAAAAAGTGTATTAATCTAAGAAAATTGTTACACTGTTTCATTGTAATAGCGCTATAAGTGTTAATTCAATCACCAATTTAAAAAAAAATGTAATTGGACTAAACTTACGCTCGCCAATTTTGCTTGTATTTTGGTCGCTGTGAGAAAAATAATCAAGATAATGAGCTGTGAGGAGCAGCAGAAAATTCACACGTTTCCACATCGCTCTCCTAAAGTTGTCACCTAGTTCAACTGACGAACTCCGCTTGTTTAATAAATCAATAGAAACATGGCACTAAAATAATATTTACACTACATTAACATTATAATACACAATATAAATGTCAGGCAGACATGAATAGCATATTTTAGGCATACTTAACATTACTCAGAACGTGATGTATTAATTACATACATTCCATACATATTAATTCTGCTAATTAACTCACGCTTTATTCATATCTGATCAATGACAAGATAACTCATCATGTGCTCCATCCCAGCCCTGATGTCTAGAGATCTAATAACACAAAAAACCGAACCGTAACAGCTGTATTTAATGGATAGTTTATTGCTTAACCGGGATGTACACGAGCAGTACTTGGTAAAAGGAGAGAACTGTTGGTTTACAGTATCGTTAGAGAATCATTTAAACATTCCTCATGAATAAAGATAAACTAATCAAACAGTTACATATGTCACCCACCCCGCTATCACTATTCATAGATGTTTATACACTTATGTTTATATATATATATATATATATATATATATATATATATATATATATATATATATATATATATATATATATATATATATATATATATATATATATATATATTTATATATATATATTTATTTATTTATTTATATATATATATATACATTTTTTTTTATTTATATATACCTGCCAATTGAAACGAATACATGTTATAGAATCGTCTTCAATTGATTAATATCATATTAGCTATTATATATTATCTTCAGATCATCATGACATTATCAAATTACTATTATTCACATATTATGTAAATTGCTAAATGTCGTCCAAAATTTAAAAAAGGACAGCTAAAATTGAAGCTGAAGTTATCAAATGTTTAGGATAAAAAAACTAAAAATTAAATTTTAACAAATTGAATTACATTAATATATTGCATCTTCCTTTATAAAAACGCTAGCATTACGAATAACTTTATAAAAAATGTATTCTTAATTAGGTAATATTATAATTTAAGAAAATATTACAAATAGAATGTCTTATCTTGAGAATGGATCTTATCCCTTTTAATAAAACGCAACCGTTGGACTTATTTCAGTTCAAATGCTACCATACTACCCTCATTTAAAAAATAATCAAAAGGTCTCATGTACTAATTTTAAACATAAAAAAATGTTTGCCGTAAAAAAAATTCGTTTGAACACTGTTTCAACAGTAAATCAAATTCAAATAATAATTTTAGAATAAAATTTTGGTTTCAACTTGTTTAAGAGTTGAAGGGGAATCACCCCGTGAAAACGGGATTTAAAAAAAAAAAATGTTCGGTGTTTGGGGTAGTAAGTTAACGTTGTGATGTGGCTTAATTTCTTTTAGCTGTTCATTTCAGACGATCGTTTATTATTTATAATTTTATTGTTACGTTAATTAGAGAAATATAAATATTAGTTAACTAGTCACATTAGTTATCTGTATTTAATTCAATTAAGTTTAACATTATGACTGTATTATTTTACATTTGTATAGTTATGATAATTCAAGAATGGTAAATTTTAATAGCCACATTAGGTATCCATATTTAAATTTAATAACTATTTACTTAACAAACACCTTTTCTAACAATTAGGTTACAATAATAGCCATTAGTTGTACATAATAGAGGTATTAAATGTTCCATTTTCGTTCGGGTGATTTTGGAGTCGATTAATCAGGAAATAAAAATATTTTTCTTTTCAAACATATTAATACACACGTTAGTGCGTAGTTTTGATAGTTCATGCCATACAATTAACTGAATATGCATACATTCAACCTAAGTACAAAATATTAATTTAATTAGAAAAACATTGCCTAACTGGAATCGCCTGCAACCGCTAGACTGTAATCTCTAGACATCTGTCAATTTACGGACGACATTCTGTTCATTTGGTGCATATTCCCTGAACTTATGAAGCGATTATGGACTATTTATTTATCTTTAGTTTTAATCCTTTAGAATAACTGCATGCTATCTGTTGTTCAACTGTACTACAAGCACAAAATGTACTACTCATATTGAAAAAGAAAACTTTGTGTATAGGAGATTATAGGAGGAATTATGTACGATGTTTAACCCTGCTCTGGTACCTTACAAAAATCACCTGTTTGGTACCATGGGGTCAGTTTCGTTGAAAAATAGGCTTTTAACCAGTATAACAGCACTCTATTATAATATATTGTTTACCTATGTCATAATAAGATGACAACGTGTTAGTAGGCCTTCATCCAATTAATACTGCAGTTCTATGAGCAGAGTCATGTTATTTTAACCCGCTGTATGCAAAATACTATTCCTGGCATTGATTGTGCACTAGCTTGGTGTGTTATTTGCACACCAAATGATTGCATTTATTTTAGACTAGTTAGCTTTTCTTGTGGCATGATCTGGGACACATGAAACACTCTCTAGCATAGTCCTGGATGAGAATGTGTGGTGCTTGCTGTTTGTGTCGGTATATTAAAGGGGATAGGCTCCCGAAAAAAACGGGGAAAAAACTTTTTAATTAAAAAGCCTTTTACATTTATTTGCGTATGTATAAGTTAGGGTACTTAAGGAAAAATATTTGGATGTACCAGGGACTCTTCTGAAAATATGGTTGCCATGGAAACGGCGGCCATCTTGGAAAAAAACTACCGATGTGGAGTTCTAAAATTTCCTAAAGTAACATATAAACCGCCCATATAATCATTGATCTTTATTGCACTAACACCAATAGAGCCAGCTGGCTAATTTTTGTAACCAAAAAACAGCTAGACATATTTTTTTCAAATTTTCAAAAACATTTTGGGTGAAATTCCATTGAATTTAGCATTATTTTCATTGGAATTTCGTCACACCGAATTTTGAAAATTAAAAAAAATAAATTCTAGAGTGGTTTCTGTTACAAAAACTAGCCAGCTGACTCTATTAGCGTTAGTACAAGAAGGATCAATGGTTATATAGCCGATATTTATGTTAGTTTATGAAATTTTAGAACTCCAGAAAAGGATATTTTTTCAAGATGGCCGCCATTACCATGGCAACCATATTTTCAAAAGAGTCCCTGATGCATTGAAATATTTCCCTACAAGTACCCTAACTTAGATATACACAAATGAATCAATAAAGGCTTTTAATTAAGAAGTTTTTTTCTGGAGCCTACCCCATTTTTCTATAATGGCAAACATGTAGGACAAAATGTATTTAATGTTTTAACATTTCAATAACAAATCAACAGCAGATACATTTTCACTTGTAAATCACATTTTACAATGTTTAATTTCAAGTTTATCTGCGAATGCAGATAGGGCTGATGTTGGGGTTGATGCCAGTGAAGCCACAGTCGAAGATGCCCCTGCCAAAGTCGATGGTGATGGTTCCAGAGATGTCCTCTTGGTCAGCTCTCTTGGACACGGCCAGTGGGAAGCCCACTAGGACGTCTTGGCCGAGGAAGTTGATGAAGTGCTGGTCGCCGTCTCTCTTGAAGTTGCAGTTGATGGTGATGGTGATGGTGATGGAGCAGCTGATACTCTCGACGTCAACATCTCTGAGGAGAATAGGCAGCGGCGTCTGTGGGAGGGCACATAGGGCACACAGGTAAAACATCAAACAATGAAATAGGTAATTTTATCGCGGTGGGGGGGGGGGGGGGAGGGAGGGCACACAGGTAAACATCAAACAATGAAATAGGTAATTTTATCACGGTGGGGGAGGGGGGCACAGATAAAACATCAAACAATAAAATAGGTAATTTTATCACATTGGGAGTGCACTCAGATAAAACGTCAAACAATTAAAATTGTTTCACTTTTACATATCCAGATTGATCAAAAATAAAGTAGGCTTATTGATAAGAACCTTTTTGTCCCAATTAATACTGGATAATATCAACATTTAAAAATAATATGTGCATGTACTGAAATAAATATATATATATCACTATTAACAAAATAAAACAGTTATTCTGTTGGGTTTTATATGCTAAAGTGAAGATTAAATTTAATTCCAAATGTTTATAGCTTAAAAAGAAACAATTAAATAACTCTAAAATATTTCAAAAATATATTAAATATTTTTTGTAAAATATGCAGAATTTAAAATATAACTTATGAAACTCACAATAAATGGAGGAGTAGGGGTATACCAGTCAAGAAAAGACTTCTCCTGTAGAATGGAAAATAATTTACGTTTTTATTATATGTATCGAGGAATCTGTTAAAGACTGTGTAAAATATCTTTTCTTGCCAGACGGTCTGATCAATTAGGGTTTTCTGCTTCTTCAACATACCTAATGAGGATAGTGCGCCTATTCAGTCACCTCTCAGAGGTGTGTGGACTTAATGACGTAAACTGTTATCACGTTTTTGGGTTGGTGTAAACTCTATTGAGCCTACACTTCCTGTTTTCTATTTCCTACATGAAACCAATACATCTTTGGGTTTGTTTTCAATTGTTGCAAACACTAAGTTGTAACCTAAGTTCAATGATCAAATAAATAAAAATATATTGAATGTAGCTTACCTGTACTGCAAAGCATGAGCCAATAAAGGCAAAGGCGAAGACTATTGGAAGCATCTTGGGATATTCTGTAAAAAAAGTTTTTAGAATAAAAATATATTATTTTACAGGAAATACAACAGTTTCAAATATTTTTTATAAAATCACTTCATCTCGTAAGGAGTAAGGCTGTTTTAATTGCAACATTGTCGTTCTAAACAAACCTGGAACATTAGTTTATGCTTGTGTAATTTATTCACTAGTTCATGATGTTTAAAATGTGTAATCTGTTGAATCTTATTTGCTAAGATTTTAAACATTCACATTAATGCATTTTTAAAATATTTTTAAAAATACTGTTATATCTTTATACCAAGATTATTTAGGCCTACACTGTTAGCCTTAATCGCCCACTTACCACTGGCAATAGTATGACTGTGAAGTAAGGTTTAAGTCAAACTAGCTTTATTTATAGTTAAGCTGATTATTGTTTTTTAATTATGTTTTCGTGATTTTGTAAAAAAAAAAAAGATTACAGATAAAGTAAGCATGTTAATTCTATTTTTTTTATCTCTGTTTTAGTGATTAGAATTTTGGCAAGTTGTGTCTGACATGAAACTGTCACTTTCTAAAGTATAGACTAGGTTCATTATTGTCTTAGCGTGTGTGATTTAGATCGTGAGTGCTTGGTTTCAAGTTCGATTGTATCGTGTGTGAGACAACTTTCTGACAAGATAAATTTAATCAGAAGTATGGCTACATTTGTCGTTGGTTCATATAAAACCAGCTTCAGTGTAAATGTAAAGTAGTCATACCCATGTGTGTTAGTGTGTGCTTTAGTTATCCAGACAAATATACAGGCTCTTGTAAAAATCCTACAAGTTTTGTTAACTTTTGCAATGTTAAATTACAAGTCTTTGATACAGTTAACAAATCAGCAGAAAAGAATTTGGTTGAAAGGATTTGTATAGTAAAAAAAAAACCACATTCGATGATAAAGTAACGCAAACATTCCGACATTAAAGTTATAAATGTTGATTTTAAAGTAAAAGATACATTATAATTGTAATTAACATAGATTAGTATTACAAAATAGCATATACATGTTGATGATGGTAAAACAGATCAATTCTGCAACAATTAACGTTGTAGAAACAAGGTACTGGAAGTGCTATACTAAAATCACGACACAACAGAGGGGCTAAAAATAGTATCCCTGCATTGAATCTGGGCGTGTTTACAACGACACAAACTGCGACGTCGGCTAGGCGTTAATTTAGGTTAAGATATTTTAAATTTTTTAATTGTTCATTTCCGGACACGAGTTTATCGTTATCTCGTGTCATCTGTGTTCGTCACACGTCACTCAACTCATTTATTTTCTTCTATATTCTCAGCGATAAATTTTTATAAAGCTGTAGTGTCACTCAACTCATGTCAATTATTTCCTTCTCTATTTCTGCACAAAAAAAAGTTTATAAAGCTTTCATGTATAAACTCATGTAATTTATTTCCTGCTATATTTTCTGCAACCAATTGTTTGTAAAGCTGTCCTGCAAGACACTTGCAATACAATTGTTAATTTTGTCAATTTAAAACTCCCTATACTGCCAAATTTATTAATGTCCGGAGCGAAGGTATCATAGAGGCCCCAAAGTATAAAATCATGTATATTAGCTGTCGTTAAGGTCCACTGCTAAAGCTGTGTACTGAAACATTTCAAAATGTCTATTGTTATAGTCAGAGTTGTTTAGCAATAAGTGACATCGAGGTATTCAAAATTTAGCAAAGTTTATGGTTTAGTCTCATTCACTAAACATGTACTTTTTTTAAATTAATCAAAGCGACTATTAGATATCTACGTATATTTTAAGGATAAAATATATGTACACCATACTGACAGATTTTATGAATCATGAAAGTTTATTTACAGTAAAAAGATGGGTCATAATTAATTGATGTTCTTTGATGGGACTGGGCGCATCGGGAGCTTTAAAGGTTGAGTTTGCTGAGTGTTAGAAAACGTTCCAGAGCGTTTCAGCAAACTAAACATAATATTTCTAAAAAAAAGCTGATATAACATTGATACCAGCTAAACTATATAACACAAGAAAACAGTTTTTCCATATTTTCAAGAACCTTATTATTAGCTATTTTACATGATGTAATAGGTCAGCTTATATTTTAGATTTGTAGTATTTATTTATTGTAGATTACATATTGCAGACACATTTATTTGATCATAAATAGTTTGTATGGTAACTAAACACCCAGTCTCATGATCTTTTCCCTTTTCGCAGATGGAGTAGAGTTCATAGTTTTCTATGACCTCGGCAAGGGGATAATGTGATCAGAACTATGCCCAGTCGCATTTTTTCCACTAACGTGAGTTAAGTACCCACAAGAGCTGGGTGGATTCTACATACTTGAGCCCGGGATCCGAATTCGAGACTTCCTGGTTAGCAGTCAAACGCTCTATCGCTCAGCCATTCCAGTACATTATTTCTGCATTGTCTTTAAAGTATCAATAAACAGAGGAAGCGGATTAAATCAGTTTTTTTACAGCAATTATCTCAATTATGTAAGCTAAAATTTGAATTCCATAATGATCGTTATCTTAGACATATTATAGAATAGTACATTTCTTAGAATCAAATTATTTTTTTTTAAAGATGTAATTGAGGTATGTTTATATAGGGCTAGTCAATTGTTACGTCTTTTGAGGGATATTCTCAAATCTTACACAAAAAAAAACTATTTGTATAGCACCATTTTTCTATATAAATTACTTATATTCGTATTCTTCGATATCCACAATAAAATTGATGTTAATGGGCTGCTCCAAATTATTTAATTTAGATAGATCTGAGGTGAATGAAAAAATCAATAAATTCGGGTAACCAACAGTATGCTCAAGCACCTGATCACGGCGTCCATTCGTACAACGTAATGCCATCACTAAGCTACATTCGTGGATACAATAACAGTTTTATGTTAAAATGCCGTTATAGCTTTCTACTGACAGGATGTCACCGTTCACCACATCACACTTGAAAATCGTGTCACATGTTCATAAAACAAGACTGAAACTCAGCACCCACTGACGAATTAATGGGTTGATTTTAACACGAGGAAGTAAAAAAAAACATTTGATTGGATGCACTTAAACTTTGAATGATTGCTATTTGAAATAGAAATGAGAAATAACTTGATTGTCAGCTTACTTCTATTTAGCGAATGATTACTGATTAAACCTTGACACATCTGGCCTTTAGTTAAAAAAAAGGATTTCACCACGATATACATAATGAAGATATTTCAGCTCATTTTGAGTTGTACATTATTTGATATAATTATAATGGACGTTCATGGTATGTTAATTATTCTTTGTGTAAAGTACGTATATTTTTACCAACCTTTATTTAACTAGCTTCCTATCTATCTATCGTGCGTTGTGATTGATCAAAGCTGCTGAGCGACGTTTCGATGACTTCTAACTGACCGATTTCTTTAAAATTAAGCACGTTGGTCAAAGTTCACTGACAATTCAATCGGACATAAAATTTTACTTAACTGGATGTTTATGTAGTTTTTTTTTTAATTAATTAAAATTTCTACATAAAGTAGTATTTACCATATTATACTTATATTTTCTTTATGCTTATTTGATGTGCACGATTTTTTAGTCATGCAGCTGTGACTTACTTAGGTCTTTTCTTTAGTTATATCATTTAGTTTGCTGTTATAGGAGGGTTGTTAGTTCACCTGATTTCCTCGGTCAACTGAACTCCGTCACGTCATGAGACTTGGATTTTAATCCTTATCAGATCCTCGGCCAATGGTCTTATGGCATTGAGGATCCTTAACCGATCCTCGACCAATGGCCTTACAAAATTACAGTAACCTCCCTTGGTTTTGATCCTAGATATAAACTCGTCACGAGACTTCTCGAGAAAGGACTTTGAACTAGACCGCGGGAGACACAGTCCGGTGTGTGTGTGTTAGGTCTTATTTGAATTGTTCAGTTCGTGGTGATATATTTTAGTTCCTCACCATAGAAGTTGTATGGTCATTACAGTGTTTATGAGGTATTGTTTAGGTGTGTTATTTCACCAAGTTGTATGGTCATTCCAGTATTTATGATATTGTATTGAGGTGTGTTGTTCCACCAAGGCCTTACCTGTAACTTTGATATCTAATTGTTAGATATATTTCAGTATCTTTGAGTTATCTGTAAGTGATTTTTGTGGTTTATTTATTGCTCTTGATGAATTATACTTTGGTGTTGACTTAGTGTCTATTGTACATACTTGTTCACAAATTAAAATAGTAGTTGTCAGTTTAGCCTTAGTTGAGTTTCATCTTTCCTACGTGTCAGTTCCCCTAGACTGTTGAAACACGCCCACGTAGATGCAGGTGTACTCATTCTGTCCATGGGTATTTCTGTCTAACTACATTAAACGAACCCGGGGCGTTCGCCTGTTCTGCGTCTGTCAGACGGCGATCGTTACACAGCTCTATTGTATGAAAAAAGTTAAAAAAGTTTTAATAACAAGCTTTATTATAAATATGCACCAGTAAGGTCCGACTTCACTTGCCCTATATACCGTCTGGTTCGAAAGGGAACTTTACTTCTACCAGTAAGTTTACACAATGGCCATTTTATGGGAACCAAGTTATATATTGCTGCTATACAATTATATAATCATGCGCTTTGGTACTTTTTGCTTCACCAGTGATTCTATTGTGATTTCTGTGAGAGTAATTAGCACCTTTTTGTAATTGTTTAAATTCAATCATGCTTTTCTACTACACAATATAAACCCTAATGCTTTTGTCTAGTTTAAAAGAAACAACGTTTCAAAGAAAAATAGGATATTTCTGATTTTTTTTTTGTTTCTTATGACCACCAACTACCCACTCTTTTCAAGGTTTTAGCCTAAGTTTTAAAAGTAAATTTGTGTATAAAAATATATTAAATAAATGGTTGATTGGGTTATCTAAAAATAACAAAATTACGTGAAATTTTCACATCGTGATAATCAATCAATTTTTTTTTTCTTTATTAACCTATAGTTCCCCCAGAGAAGCCCCCTGTCATTTCTACAATACCAGAAAGTGTCCTCATTGGTTCAATCATTCGAGTTACTGCAGGTCAAGTTTTAGAAATTGTGTGTACAGTGGAAGGTGGAAATCCAAATGTGGAATCCGTCAGTTTTTCATGTGACAGGGAAGTAATTTACATTTATGGAAGGTGGAGAACATATATCTCTTCCCGCGGCACAGAAATTCGTACAAACACAACGGTTACAAGCAACTTTGATCAGGGGAAATGTGAATGTCGTGCAAGTCATGTAACCAACCAGTACAATCTCTCCAGCAGTGTAAACTTTGATGTCAAATGTAAGTTGTAATACTTTACATTTATATACAGGCCAAAACTCTCGCTTAAAGCTTTATACATTTGTTTTTTCAAGTAATTATATTTAAATTATT